TCAGGCACCAGCGACGGTGCTCGTGTTTGTGTATATACAGGAGGGTTTAGGGTTTAGGGTTTAGGGTTTAGGGTTTAGTAAACCCGTATAAATATTTAAATTTAATTAAAAATTAATAAATTAATTTATATAAAATAATAAATAAAAGAAAATAATAACCAGCAACACCTAAACCCTAAACCCTAAACCCTAAACCCTAAACCCTAAACCCTAAACCCCAGCAGCGCGAGCTGCCTATACACCCCAGCGCAATACAAAACACGAAACCCTAAAAATGAATATTTATAAAAAATATAATTTAATATGTAAATTTAAAAAAATAAAATTATATAATACATACAAAACCCTAAACCCTAAACCCTAAACCCTAAACCCTACACCCCGCAGGGTCACTCATAAACTCTGGTCCAGCCCCCGCGAGCCCTAAACCCTAAACCCTAAACCCTAAACCCTAAACCCTAAACCCTAAACTCTAAGTTAAGCCATAAGCCCTGTGTTTTAAACCCTAAACCCTAAACCCTAAAAAGTGTACATTGAAGCTGTCTTTTTTTTTTTTTTTTTCCTACACTAAACCCCCAAACCCTAAACCCTAAACCCTAAACCCTAAACCCTCGGCCAATGATAGCCAACTACAAATGGAGAGTTCTCCCAGACAGAGAGAAACTAGAGAAGCAGCGGCTCAAAGAAAGAAGAGAAAAATTTATACGTATAGAGTCTATGCAGCTAGCCGCAGACCCCAGTAAACCCTAAACCCTCATAAACCCTAAACCCTAATAAACCCTAAACCCTAATAAACCCTAAACCCTAAACCCTAAACCCTGAGGGTTTGGTGGCGTTGTTGTGGGCCTTCTTGCTTCATAAACCCTAAAACCAAAACCCTTAACCAGAACATAGTTTTCAGGGTTTACCCTGTAAACCCTAAACCCTAAACCCTAAACCCTAAACCCTAAACCCTAATTTTTTCTGCTGCAGATGCTCAGATGTTTCCCCCGAAGCAAAACGATAAAAGTTTAGCTGAAGAAGAAAGACAACAGAGACAACAAGCCCGCCATACATTTCAAGCCGCTCGCTGGCAAGCACAGCTAGCCATGCAGCTAGCTACACAGCTAGCTATACAGCTAGCTACACAGCTAGCTATGCAGCTAGCCATGCAGCTAGCTATACAGCTAGCTACACAGCTAGCTATACAGCTAGCTATAAAGCTACTTATGTAGCTAGCTACACAGCTAGCTATGTAGCTAGCCATGCAGCTAGCTATACAGCTAGCTATACAGCTAGCTACACAGATAGCTACACAGCTAGCTATGTAGCTAGCCATGCAGCTAGCCATACAGCTAGCTATACAGCTAGCTATACAGCTAGCCAAACAGCTAGATATGCAGCTAGCTATAAAGCTACTTATACAGCTAGCTATGTAGCTAGTCATGCAGCTAGCTACACAGCTAGCTATACAGCTTGCTATACAGCTAGCTACACAGCTAGCTATAAAGCTACTTATACAGCTAGCTATACAGCTAGCTACACAGCTAGCTATGCAGCTAGATATACAGCTAGCTATACAGATATCCATACAGCTAGCCATACAGCTAGCCAAAGGCCGCAGCGCTCCTCGCGCAGCTAGCCACGCAGCCACGTTGCAGGGGACACCTCGCTAGCTAGCTAGCTAGCTAGCCAGTTAGCTAGCTAGCTAGCTAGCTGCTTAGTTAGTTGGCTAGCTAGCTAGCTAGCTAGGAAGCAGCTGGATTCCTGTAGTTGTCTAGCTGAGATACCAGACACGTGTGTACTTGCAACGAAGAAAATAAGGGTTTAGGGTTTAGGGTTTAGGGTTTAGGGTTTAGGGTTTGTGGCTGAACGCAGCAAGAAGATGATGGAGAGGGAGCAGCAGAGGGAGCAGCAGAGACTGCAGGAGGAACAGGCGAGTCTGCCGCAGCTAGCCACAGCTAGCT